AGTTACTAGCAAAAGAAACTATTGTGTTACTTTTGCGTTTCTCGCCCCCGTAACCCTCACCACCCAGCCACCACCTTCCGCCGTGTGTTTCAAAGCCAGCTGAATAGAGCGGACGACAAAGACAAGAACCTGCAGAGAGTTTAGCATTTATTGCTACTCAACGTAAATGACATCAGGGGGGAACGCTATCTGACGGGCCTATAAACCCCGTCAGATGGCGTTCCCCCTGCTTAACACGGGGGGAACGCCATCTGACAGCCTATAAACCCGTCAGATAGCGTTCCCCCTGCCTAACCCTAACCCTGAACAAGAACAGCTACAGTTTCCCATGTTCTGCGTCGGTATCGAACCAAAAGGAGTCCATTACTGCAGCAGTATTCAGAGCTACGGCTCTGCATGTCTTTGGTGGCGTTTTGCTCCAACTTTGATCCCTTGGCTTGATTTATGTTAAAGAGGCACCGTCAACAGAGAAACATGCTTTAGTAACTTTGAAGTTCTCTTCCATTTGCAATCCCAGAGTAGAAGGAGCTCTGTTGTCATGTTTATTTTTAGTTACAAAAGGTCTGTTTATAAAACGATTATAACCTAACATCCAACATTTTTACAAGCATAAAGCAAAGGTCGCAAAAACTGGAACAAATGTTCAGAAATTAAAAGTGAAATAATACATTACCGCCTTTCACTTCCTGATCCGTCCCATCAGCTCATCATCAAACGAACATCTGGGTCAATTTTATTTTCTTAATAAGACATAATTTATGTTTTTCCCTCCCTAAAACTAATAAGCGTACTAAACTATAATGTGTTAAAGGATAATAATGTATTTACTGATGAAATAAAAGCATTTAAATCCTTCCTGTTTCATCCTCTGTTCCTGATCTGTAGGAAATGGGATGCTACGCTACTTCCAGGAGCTAACTTTATCAGCTTTGGATTTAAACAGGAATCTAGTCTTTTTGAGTTTAATGTTTTACTTTCATGTTAACATTATGCTATATAGCGCGTAATCTAAAGAAAGAAACAACTATAATGCAGATAAACATGGTTTAATCAGATTTACTGCTCTGATCATGATGACGTCAAAGAAGCTGTTTAACAGAGAAAATGGAAAAAGCATCAAATTATCAGCACATCGTCTACATTCAGCGACAGGATTAGCTGAACAGGACTTTGCATTAACAAGCAGTTGCACAACTATACCTAATAATTCAGCAGGTTAGTGTAGTTCACCAGCAGCAGACTGTTTTATAAAAAGTATTTCATAAGTTTTCATAATGTTTCAGCTAATTCAGCCCGTTGGGTTTGAAAAGACTGCTTTACTTTACAATCTATGCCGTGCCTTCTTTGTCTCCTTACATGATGACCTCAGTGGAAATCCAACCGGTATCACAGTCTATCTGGGCCGTCAGAGTCAGCAGGGATCCAATCCCAATGAAGTCAGACGGACAGTAGCGACGATCATTGTTCATCCAGACTACAACGAAAAGACCAGCAACAATGACGTTGCTCTAATGAGGCTCTCCTCAGCCGTTACTTTCACCAGCTACATCTCACCCATCTGCCTGGCGGCCTCTGACAGCACCTTCTACAGCGGCACGGACTCCTGGGTCACCGGCTGGGGGAACGTTGGATCTGATGGCAAGTTTTTATATGACAGGTTTTTCCAAGTGCTGAAAGTACAGGGCAGGGCAGCACAGAGTGAGTACCATGGATAAACCTCTTAGAAACTGCTAGGTTGAAGTTCCTGGATCAAGGGTTTCTTTCCACACAGTCCTTGAACCCCCCCCCAATGTACCAGTAGCAGTGAAAAGTTATGCTGAACTTGTTGCTATACATACAGTTAAGGAAATATTCCTAACCAAAGGTGTGAACCGTCTCTCTTGTTCCTGGTGAGGAAACATTTTGAAAGGACTGTACCTTTACCTGGATTTGTGTGTCTTCAGACCCTCTTCCTTTTCCTCAAAACCTGATGGAGGTGGAGGTGCCAGTCATTGGAAACAGGCGGTGTAAATGTAGCAACTATGAAGTGAGCACCATCAATGACAACATGATCTGTGCAGGACTCCTGGAAGGAGGAAAGGACTCGTGTCAGGTGATGATCTTAAACTGTTTAAAGACACCTTCCTTGTTTAATCTACTCAAACTGAAATGTTTCTGCTTTTCAAGGGGGACTCAGGGGGGCCAATGGTGAGCAAACAAAATGGCCGCTGGATTCAGTCCGGAATTGTGAGTTTTGGTATTGGCTGTGCTCTGCCGGATTACCCGGGAGTCTATGCAAGAGTCTCCCAGTATGAAGCCTGGATCAAAGCCCAAATCAGCAGCAACCAGCCGGGATTCGTCACTTTCACGTCTCCTGGCACGGACAGTGACCTCAGCATCTCCTGCAGCGGTGTGCCACCAGTCACGACCCCCGCACCACGTAAGCCCCCATGTCCCCGCATTTATTCATTTCTAATTTCATTCAAGCTGACTTTGATGAAAGGCGTAGAAAATTAAATGTCAATCTGTTGTCTTAATTCCCAGCCTTGTATTGTGGCCGGGCCCCATTGAATTCTGGGTTGGATGGCAGTTCTGTGGCGACAGCTGGTCAGTGGCCCTTCATGGCAAGCCTGCTAAAGAATGGACAGCATGTGTGTGGAGGAACCCTGGTGTCGATGGACTATGTTCTGAGCAGTGCTGACTGCTTCTCAAGGTGACTTACAGAATATCCTCATAGGTTTTGCTCAGTTCAGACTGTTTTAATGAATGGATTCGACGTTCAGCTTTTATCTCTATCAGGGGCCCCCAACTGAAAGAAGTCCAGTACCTTAAAGGAATAGTACACACAAAACATGAAATCACATTGGGTGCCTGTTTCATGACTGATTATTCAAGAGGTAGATCGTCAGATCGCGGCTCTGTTATGATGCAACAAAGATTATTTGAAAGCCATTGGAAACTGGAAGGCCTCCCAAACACAGGAAGGTCATTGATGGCCATAGCCATGGCTGTTCCAGGGCCCATGAATGACTCATAGGTTTCCTTCCAAACTCGTCAAAATGAACTCCTTAATGGTCAGTCTGTGCTTTTTAACAGTGATCAGACCTTAAAAGATCTTTTCTGTCATAAAACGGGACAAATGGACCCAATATTCAAGGTGAGAAAGCCAGTAGGAAGGTTCAAAACATTTATTACAAAAACCCAGAACAAAACAGAAGCATGCTGCTGTGGATGTGCGGCTCCTGCGGCTGCAGGAAGGGGGCGGGGCACCGCCCAATCACTGACACTCTGGTTTAATGGATTAGTCCACTCAGGAATGGACAGATCTGGGTTCCAGGAATCCATCAGAGCATGAAGGCAGGTTCAGAGTCCCGTGCGTCGAGCGTCCAGCTCAGACAGAAACACACAGACAGGCAGAATCCAACAGCAGTCCAACCATGGTTCAGACGGGCAGATCAGGCAGGGATAGACAGGGCCAGTGGATGAGAGGGAAAAGAATCAGGAAAACAGAATCACTCGGGAAATGCTGAAACTGGTTGAAACCACTGGTTAAGGATTAAACTAGCCTGAAGACACTGGGTTGAAAAATAATCTCGTTCTGGAAACAAGGACATGAATCATGGAAATAACTAGAACTGACTGACAGGACACTAAAAGAAGGCAAACAGGGAATTTAGGGCTCCAGTAGGAGAGCGACTGCACAGAAACCAAGAGAGAGCATAGGGTTATCCAGAACCCAGCCCCAGACCCCCAGCAGGGACCCCACCTAAGGGCAGGCCACCCAATGGACCCCAGATCTCCCCAAGCCCACCCGAGATCCACCCCAGCATGACATAACCCCAAAAGACCATGTAACCAGCCTCCAGAAGTCCCACCTAGGGGCTCCCAAGGCCCCCCTAGTAGGAGCAAACCTGCCGACATCTAAACCCAACACCCCCTTCATAAGCCACAGCATCCCACCGAACTGAGCCACAGGCATCACACTCCTACTATGAAAGGTAGCCGATTGAAGGTGTATAGAGGATTACAGGATTTGATAATGAGGAGGAGGCTTTCTGTGGGTTCATATCATCCAACAGAATGTCTTGTTCTGCTTAATATTTAGCCAGTTTTTATTTTACCAGTTCATGAGGATTTGACCAATCTCTGATGTTGTTTAAGCATCTTAGATATTTTACAGTTTCAGTCCAACTCAGTCACTCTTTTCTCCTCAGTCCACTCAACGTGTCTGAGTGGATGGTGGTGTTGGGTCGTCTGAGGCAGAATGGATCCAATCCTTTTGAGATGTCTCTGAATGTGTCAGAGGTCTCTCTGAGCAACCTGTCAGATCCCAACGTCGCATTGCTTCGACTATCCACCCAACCAACCCTAAGCAGCTACATCCAGCCCATCTGCCTGGACAACGGCAGAAGCTTCCCGGTCGGATCTACATGCTGGGCAACTGGGTGGAGCTCTGGGAGAGGAGGAGGTGAGTCCAGACACAAACATTGGTTCATCAGAAATAAAGACTAGTACATAGCTGCAGGGATGTTTTATTTATCTCTGTTCCAGAGGAAGAAGTTCTGCAGGTGTTTAAAGCTCAGGTCCAGAGCTGTGGTAACAGGACCTCAAATGAGAGCATTTGTACGGAGCAGTTTCCTCTGCAGCAGGTGAGTTAAGATGTTATCATTTATTTTAGAGTCAGTTTGCACCATAATATCCATCTGAGCTGAAGTGACCTCAGAGCTCTGAGGTCACTTCAGCTCAGACAATGGATCAGATATCTTCTTGATCCATTGTCTGAACATGGAGAGGATGGACCAACTTCCAGGACATGGATGACCACCTAGACCTGGTATCCAAGAACTTTCAGATATCTTCTTGATCCAACACATCTGAGTTACGGTTCAGTTACCTGCGCAGTAGAGGTTCTCTACTAAGGACCAACAACTGTGATTCAGGTGTGTTAAAGCAGAGACACAGTCCTCCAGGACCTGATTCTGCCACCCTGACTTAGAAGTGGCCAGAAGTGCATTCATCAGGAGGAGTATGGTGGCTCTGGAGGAGCTGCATGGAGCCACAGCTCAGGGGGAGATATCTAGTGGGGCATGTTGGCCTAGTGGGTTGGAGCAGTGCACTCGTGTTCTAGGAAGGTTGCTAGTACCTTGTTCGATCTCCACAGCCTCTGCTCTGGCTCCCTGAGCAAGACCCTTAACCCCTGATTACTCCCTGGGTGCCGCACAATGGCCGCCCACTGCTCCCCAAGGGGAGGGGTTAAATGCAGAGGTAAGATTCTCCAAAGTGAGATCAATAAAGTTAAATTCTTCTAGAACTTCCAAAACTTTGACAGGAGTTTTGTTTAAAGGTTAGACCTGCAGCAGACCTCCTTTATTTTCAGAAATATCGTGACATTCAATAAACTAGTGTTAGATTTTAGCAGAACCAGAACCAGGCTGACCATGAGCAGAAGCTCGGAGTTCCTCCCACTTCAGGGTTCAGGTTGCTCTGTGTCCGTCTGCAGATGTGGAACTTTTAGGTTGTACTGAGGAAATGTTTTCTTTTCCCGCTCAGGGTGACTCTGGAGGTCCACTCATGTGTGAACAGGACGGTGCTTGGTTCCAGGCAGCAGTGGTGCTTCCAGCCAACGCCTCCGCCGTCCTAAATCGAGAGGATTCTGTGATGCTCTTCAACAAACTCAGTCGATATCAGAATTTCCTGACTGAGAAACTTGGGACGTTTTTATCCCCAGAGCCCAGCGCTAACAGTACATCATCCAGCGGAAGCTCTCAGGCTCATTTCTCCTTGTGTTTCCATCTCCTCAACTTTGTCTTATTTCTGCCTCTCTTTTCATAGAGATGCCTAAATCCATGATGAAGGACAAAGATCTCCTGAATCTCTGTCTGATTATAGATATTCAAAGAGTTTTTCTGTGGCCTGATTCTCGAGATGATCTTTCTGATCTTACATCCATTACAACTGATTCTGTTTGGACAGTTTTACAGAAAAGAAAACATTTTAATGTTTCAGTACTTCCCCACATGTTGTTTTTTGTTTTTCGGGTTGATAGACATAATGTGTGAATTTTCTGGCTGTAAGACAAACTGAGGAAAAGATAGAAGAGTTTAACTAAAAACTTAGATTTTATGATTTTATGTGATTTTCTGCTTGTTTAACTTGGTGAAAATGAAGGTTTTAAAAAGTGTCAATGCTTTTTATTGCTGCTGTAAAGTTTACCAATATGTTGAAAAAGTAGCTTAAGTTGAAGAGTGAAATAAGTTCATAAGCAAAATACATCAAGAGATTAATTTTAATGTCAGAAGTCTGATTGGTTAAATATGTTCATTTAATCTGAATTACTGTGACGATGCACTTATTATGCACAATATAGCTTGATAAAGATAATTCTAATGACATTATAATGATAATTCTTAACATGGTGTGGTGCTTGTAAATTAACTGATTGGTTTGGGGAGTTTTATGGTGTATATTGTTTACATAATTATAAACAAATAAAGATAAATATCAATAAAAATATTGTGAGTTTAAAGTTGACTCCCAGTTAGGGGTCTGATACACGTGGGACTTAAAGTTGATTCCTGATTAAAGTTAAGATCAAGTTTTTTTAGCATTTAATCTACATGCGCAGCAATCTCCTTATTTCATTGTTTGTAAATCCTCAGTCTTCATGACAAACACAACAAACAAACACTTAAATTCAAAGGCAACTGGACTTTGGCTGTTTTTCTGAAGATGTTTCCTCTCCCATCCAGGAGTCTTTATTCTGTTGGTTTCACTAGAACGAAGCTTTGATGTATTTAAGCAGCAATTAGGTTCATTCTTCTCTGTCTTAGACTCAACTTCATTTATCCTTTGGGATTACTCCTTCAGAGAAATTCTGAACACAATTTTCCTTTTTTTCTTTTTAAGATGGCAGCGCCTAAAGGCAGCGGCTTGCTGCAGCTCCAGACAAATACACAAAATATGCCGATTAGAACACTTCAAAGTATCTATGCGTCTATGACTGCCAGCGCCTGCTGGAGCTTCGGCAACAAAATGATGTTTCTGGACTCTTAAATACAGAAACTCTTGACCGTTTAAAAGCTGCGGAGTGCTTCGGATGGACATAAACACCAAAGGAGCAGGCCGTGCTGGGTGCGATGGGGTAAACGGGGCTGCAGAGGTGTGCTAATAGCAAAGCTAAGAAGAAATCCCTCAGACCTTTGTTACCATCAATCCTGCTCTTCAACATCTGCTAATAACTGGAGCGGAAATGGATCATCTACGACTCAAACTCTCTTCAAATAAGGAGATTAGTAACTGCTGCACCATCATCCTGTGTGGTTAGCATCACTGCTGTTTATGCCCCCCCCAGCGCTAACACTAAAGAGGCCATGAAGACTCGATACCAGGCAATCTCTGAGCTCCAATCTGCACACAGAGGCTGTTTCCATCATTGCTGGGGATTTTAACCAGGCTAACTGGAAGACTGTTCTCCCTCATTTCTACCAACATCTAGACTTTGCAATCTAGAAACTGTTTAGACCTGGTTTACTCTAACATCAAAGATGCATTCAGAGCAGCCCCCCGCCCCCACCTCGGTTCATCAGACCATCTCTCTGTCATACTAATTCATGCATGTAGGCCCAAGTGCAAAGAATCAGGCACCTTTGAAAAAAGGACCTCAGGGACAAAGGACACACCTTTGAAGACCAGTCTTAAGATTTTGGACAGAGAGGACAGATGGCGTGAAAGAGGGGGGAAGGAATCCTTCTTTATGAAAAGAGAAAATCCATCAATGATCAGTTTGGGAGGACTGAGGTTTCAGCTTCCAAGCATTTACAATTCAGTCCTGAAACTCATTCCAAAGAAATGTAGGACCTCTGATCATGAAACAAACAAAAGGCTCCAACAATCCATGAGAACAAGGAACGGCTGTTTGATTAGCATCTGACTGGAATGTTCTTAGGAGAATTAACCTAACTGCTGCTTAAATACATCAGAGCTCCATCTACAGATTGATCTAGTGGAGCCGACAGAATAAAGACTCCTGGATGGGGGAGGAAGTGTCTTCAGAGAAACTAAGCCAAAGTACCTCCATTTAAGCCTGTTTTGTGCTCTTTTTTGACTTAATGTATAAGTCATAAAAATCCGCTTTTGCAGTTTGACTGTCAGACTTTGTTCAGTCTTTAGAAGTGGTGTGATACAGCAACCACATGGGGTAAGTGACATTGCTTTGAAAGAATTGATGTCACACTTCAGCTGAATCTCTACTTCATCTTCATACTGGGTTATTTCTTAAACCAATACAATTTCTAAGACTTTCAAACCTAATGAGTATAACCCTGCTTAGAGTTCTTTGAAATCTATTGGCTAGAGTAAAAAAAAAAGGTTAGCTGGCTTCTTAACCATCCCCTTCATGATGTCACCCTCCTATTGTAGTTATCAGCAAGTCCACACCTAGTCTACAATCGCTCTCACTGTCTTAACAGCTGCATTCTGAGAAGCCAGTTTTTCCTGTCTCTCTTTGTTTATAGAAGACACAAACTAACTGGTTCAGAACTTCCACTATGATACAGCAGCTTGGTGTTCCCGCAGTCTTATGACTCANACAATCGCTCTCACTGTCTTAACAGCTGCATTCTGATAAACATTTTTCCCTCTTCTGTCCTTGTTTATAGAAGACACAAACTAACTGGTTCAGAACTTCCACTATGATACAGCAGCTTGGTGTTCCCGCAGTCTTATGACTCATTTTGAACTTTGTACTTTAATAAACCTGAATAAAAGATTTTCATCATTATATTGTTTAGATAATTATATTTTTCCACCTTAGAAAATTTCATAGTAACAAGACAGTTTAGTAGATTTTCTTTTACTTTCTTTGTTTTAGGTTTAGCTTATTTATTTAGCTCCAACTCACTTCATATAATCTCAGGTCACTTTATAGATCCAGATCAACCCGACCAGCCAGTCAGATATGTTCAAAGTTTTATATTTAAGCAAAACCAGCTGATTACATTGACTCATAGTTTCTTCAGCAAATCATTAACACATACATCATGTCAGTTATTTCCCCCCGAGCCTTAAAAACAGCAATTATCAAACCATTGTTGATAAAGAGAAGCTTGGACAAACGAATCCTGCAGAACTATAGGCCCATCTCATACCTCACCTTCACCAGTAAGATTATTGAAAAAAATAGTTTCAACTGTTTAATGCCTTCTTATCGATGACCGGCTGCTTCCAGTCAGATTTCTCCACCAACCACAGCACAGAGATGGCCCTGATAACTGTTTTTTTTGTTTTTGATACAACGCATAAAGATCAGATGAAAATCAGATCAGAAAATGCATTGTCCACATGTTTTTTTAGCAAGCTTTTTGAAAGAGGAAATATAGCAGCAAGATTTAAGCAAAATGTAGAAATTAACCCTCCCAACCCCTTTTCATAACAACTGGCAGTTAAGAGGCATAAAAATTGAGCTTTGGAAGCAGATAGCTTGTATTTCTGGAGAGATGAAAAGGTGATAAGAAATTGAGGAAATGCACCTTCTGAACTGAACTGTTAGGGCCAGAGATTGAACCCAGGTCACCAGTTTAGCACGTTAGAGTGGAAACCATGGAGGTACAGTCCAGGTCCATGGAAAACCCCAAGTGCAGCGATCCTACTAAAAAAGATTCAGTTTTATTTTTGTATTTAAAAAAAAAAATCAGTTCAGTTTAAAACAGTTCATTTATTTAAAAAAAATACAAACTAAAAAAAAAAGTCCTGGGGCATTTCAGAAATAAAAAATGACTAATGATCCAAAACAGAACAAAGATGCACAGACTGTATTTTCCAAAAAAGGTTTGAACCTAAACATTTGAGACTGAGATATAAAATACAATATGCCATAAAATGTATTAAAGTAACTATTCAATTAAATTACTTAACCAAACCAAGGGTCCCCCACCCCCACCCCCACCCCACCCCCCGGCTGCTGAACTGAGTCCCTGAGACGGCACCGTAGGCAATAACTACACATTTCAGATGGTCTTTCGTCGCATTACTCATCACCATGGTAACGGTCCAAGCTCTGGCAGCTACTGTTGCCATGATACACAAGCATGATGCTCATACTACAAACATTAAATTAGGCCTAGATTTTTTAAAGTTTTCTCTTATGACTTTATTTTAAAGGAACAGTCCACTTATTCCAAAAGAGTTGAAAAACAATCCACTGGACTTTGTTTTTAAGTTTCATCGTTGAATGAAGCTTTGTTTTTGTTTAGAAAACATGAAGATTGAAACGTCTTTGACTTCTTTTTTAGCCTGTAATGCCACTTACCTGTCTATGCCTCTGAAAGGGGTGTTGGGGCTTACATGATCAGTTCAGGCGGGACTTAATATGGCTCACCCTCCACGGGCAGTGTGAGAAGTTGGTAAGGGGAGGAAGTAGCTACCAATTCGGGAAGGGCCCCAGGCCAGGGGTCGGTACCTGCGGCTCTTTAGTTCCCCCTTTTTTCAAAAATGTATACATTTTTTGTTGTAATATGGTGTGCAGGAGGTCAGACAAACATTCACTGTTTTCCAATGCTGTAAAATGTGTATGATGAATAAATGTAAACAATACATGTAAATATTTCTTTGCATAATAGCCATAGAGAACAGGAGTCATAGCCTGCAGCATGTTTCAGCACAGCCTGGTGTCAGATAAACAAAGCAGCAGGTATATGAATCTCAGAGGGAAAAAAGGAAGATAGCTGATGAGAACAGAAGATTCAAAGGAGAATGGAGTGACTCATTTGTTTCCATTATCAATGCGGAAGGATTGACTGCATTTTTGTTTACTAATGTCAAAAACTAAAGAGTAATTTGGAAAGGCATTTCCAGGGAAGGCATGCTAAATATGCAGCATCACAAAGTTGGGACTTAGAGAAAAAGTGTGATTGCAGAACTTCTGGATAAATTACAGGAGTGCAAAAAATAGATTTAAGGAGTGGATTGCATCTCCAAACTCCACTTTCTCTGCTAGTTTTGTTGCAAGCATAGAAAACCGTTCATAGATCCAACAGGTAACACTCTGATGCAGGGATGTGAAATTTCTTCCATTTTCTTTCCTAAAAAAACCTCCAAGTAAAAATAACCCCAAGGAAAGCTGGAGACAGACTATGTGGGATTTAAGGGTTGGACAGCACTGCTCTGATGGATGTCAGCTGCTGCTTGATTTCTCATGATTCAAACAACTCTTTGACTCACTGTTCTGACTCTTGAAAGAGATGGTTGCATTTTCCTGCTGCTCCTTTTCCTCCCTGCTCTGTCTCTTCTTTGCCGTGTCTTGTCTTTTCTGAGCTCTCTCTTCATATCATCCAACAAGGGATGATATGAAGAGAGAGCTCATTTGCATTGAGATCATTTGCATGGAGAGACCAGCTGACCTAAGGCGGATTTATACTTCAAACAGGGGGGGATTTACCATTAGGCAATACTAGGCAGCTGCCTAGGGCCCCAAGTTCCTGGGGGCC